CACTAAACTTAAGAGTGCAAATGTCGCTAAACGCGTAAAGAAGGAGTTTAAAGCGAGTAATCCAAAAACAACCACCCCTGTTGCTACCGAGGCTCCCTCTTCTGATGAACAGAAGCCCAGAAGACGACGACTCGATGCAGAAGACTATATACGAAGGCGTTTCCTGTATGAAGATGACACACAGCCAAAGCGTGTTCGCAATAAATCTTCTGTCTCTAAAATTGCTAGTGATGTCAGTTCCCGATTCCGAAACAGCGGGTCTACTGCTGCCCTTATGGCTGTCTCATCGGCCAACTTGATGCATAAAAAGCGCAAAAAACACGCGGACAAAGTTAACCATCCTATTAAAAGCCGTGTACCCTTGCAAAGTCGTCGCGGCCGAAAGCCAAAGCCCCGCTCATATGATTCACGCCTGTCGGAAGCGGATTCAATGAACAGATCTGGGCCGGTTGATGATTTTGATAATGATACTGAAGGTCACACCTCTGACGACGCAAGAAGCCCTGTTCCGGACTATCCTTACCGACCTGGTGACTTTCGTCACTACGAAAGGTCAGCTGGCGATACTAATCCCCTCGCGCCTCTCTTCCATAACGCGAAGCATCCTTCATATCGAAATCGCGAACTAAGTCTTTCGCCCGAAGGAATTCACGTAAGCTTCCCATCAAACGTATTTGAAAACTTTGTGATGTTTATTGAACAATGAAATTTTATTCCTTGTATAAATCATTACCTGCCTTGTCATTATTTACTTTGGTCTTCAAGTAGATTGGCGTCTTCTGACTTCTCATATCACTTGTTATTTCTGTCACACTATCCGTACTGCGTTGAGATGAACTCTCATAAGGTAGCTATTAACACCTCTGGTCGGGCTTATCCACTAAACCAATCGTAATTAAGAGGCAATAGCATACAAAAAAGCGTCGCTACCCGACGAGCTGTAATGATCAACTTAAAAATCGACTTAGCCCTGTTGTTTGTAAGCCTATGATAAAGGCATTCCCGTGAGCTCTGGTCAAGGACACAAAGTCCAGAAATGAAGCCAGAGCCTTATTCATAGAAGAAAGTCCTCATTTAATCAGTTTTTTCTGCTTATAGCTTCATTTGTGTTCTGTTCATAGTTTTACCTTTCTTATTGGAAGCCAATTTATCAGACTTTAAAGGGGGCCAGGACCGTGCACCTGGTCGTTGTAATGCTAGATTTTATATTTGCCCTGTCCATTTGACGGTGCTTTCAGTCGGACATAAAAAGCGCGATATATTTACAAACCACTTTTGTTTTCCCATTATCCTCGAGCATGA